CACACACACACACACACACACACACACACACACACACACACACACACAGCACTAATTATGCTCAGGATGCACCCAGCACAATAGCATTGGAGTCATCTGGAGTCAGGCTGGGTGTTGCTGATATGTGTATACTTTGTATCCTACTGAAGACCGTGGTTTCATTGTTTCACAGGGGAGCATTTTACCCCTCAAACTGCAGTCTTCACTGTACTATGTTATTAACTGCCCTTAAGGATTTTTCTGTTTGTTTTTAGCTATCTTTTGTTCAACTCACACTGAATTTCTTACTGATCCCATTAGTCTCAAATACTTAACTCTAGGCTGCTAATAAAAAATATTCTCTGCCTTCATCTTGAGAAACTAATTTTTAAAGCATAAATTTAGAACTTTATATTTATGCTAAGGAATTTTCATTTCTGTTCTTGTACAAAATTATAGGGTTAAATATCATCTCAGGAGTCTTTTGGCTGAACTGCCAATTTTTAGTATCCTGCAGCTTATATATAATATAATATAATATAATATAATATATAAAAATATAATTTCTTTCCATTCAAATTATGAGGAGGAATTTGGGGTTGGGATTGTGACCAGTGCCCTCCACATGAGAGCTTTTAGTGAGAGGCTGTTCTAGGGTGCATATTCTGATGTACTGACATCATTCTGTAGGTCACAAGCATCTACATGCTACATATTTTTTCAAGAGGAAGATGTTTTTATTTTCCTAATATTATGTGATTACTAAAAATAATTAAAATGACAAAAACTGAAAATCTTTAAGACCCTGCTCTAATATGCTTAAAATAATGCTGCACAATTTGGAGGTCATGACAGACATGGGTAATGCCTATGCATTCGGATTTGTGTATATGCTTATGGCTTTACATACAGCTAGATCATACTTACAGATGAGTGATCCAATTGTGTCTTACTCTTTTTTAAATGTTTACAAACCACATTTTCTCAGTATCATTAATCTGCCCACCAATCTGCAGTCCTCAATGTGGCATTCAGAAAAGGTTGAATTATGATAAGTGTATTGTAGACTAACAGGACAGGTGTTTTTCTGACAGGATTTCCAAAATGGAACACAAAGTTTTCAAATGTTACAGCAGGAGATGGCTCAGTAGGTCAAGTGCTTTCTGCACAGCATGAGGACCTGAGTATGATTTCTAGGACCCACGTAAAAACCAGGCGTGTTCACAGATAGCTGTAACCCCAGAGTTGCAGGGGCAGAAGCAAGATGTCCAGAACTCATTGGCCACCTGGTGCAACCAACTGATTAGTTCCAGGTGCGGTGAAAGACTGTCTCAAAATATTCGATGGAGGCAGCCGAGGTCAGCATCAGCTCCATGTGCACATACAGCACACATCTGCGTAGCCCATGTACACCCACCACAGCCGTTTAGATATAGGGGAAAGTAGAGCTGTGGTCTTAATCTTATACGTAAGTGTGCCATTTTGTTCCTCTTGCAGAACAGGAAACAGAAGCCACAGTCTTTAGGAAATGTCCCAAAGGCCAGAGACCTCTATAGCAGAGGAGCCTCAGCTTCAAAGCCCAGACCTTACTGCTCCCATCAGTTTTTAGTAATGCTCTTTGAACTTGCATTCAATTTAGTAAACATCTCTTGAGGACCTGTGATGTGTCAGGAATTGAGCTAGGCTAGAAGCATGGTACTGTACAACCTGTTAAGTAAACTGCAATCATTTGTTCCCATCAAAACCTTGGGCACTTTGTTGTGGAAGGTAGTAAATTTACTTAAATCTGATGTTACAATTCCATCTGCTTCCGATACTGACATGTAATTTTATTTAAATTTCTCTTTAAAATATAACATTGAACTATATGTAAAGGCATGTGCATGCTTCCCTTTTTATTTCTCTCCTCAACCATGTGAACAGTCTGGGAGATGATATTTACAAAGATGTGCTTATAATCTCGAGGCTGTGGGTTCATTTTCATGGAACTTTTATAAATGATTTCTTTTGTTTTTAAAGCCTTCTATATCACTTAAATACCCACATAGCAAATGTCATTAAAGTAACATGCCTTATCCATGTGTTAACATGACTTGAAAGACTCTTAGATGGGACTCATTAATAAACTTAATCTGAATTGCCTCTGAGCTGTTGATTCTCCATAGTAGAAAGCCTGTTAAAAGCCTGGTGTGAAGTTTTGATGAGATAAATGTACCTGTGAGGTAGGCAGCTCCTCTGATATTTTATGCCACTGCAATATACCTGAGTCCAAGTTATTCTGAGAATTGAGGATCGAGGTGCTGTGATTCTTTGACCTTTTGAATTGTATTAATTCTATGATTGATATGTGGATTTTAAAATACTTATTTGTGACTTTTCAATTTAGAATGGATTCGTTTTTCTTGGCCGAGATGTTTAAATATCTCTATCTGTTATTTGCTGATAAGGAAGATATTATCTTTGACATAGAAGATTACATCTTCACAACAGAAGCTCACCTGCTACCCCTTTGGCTCTCAACCACAAATCGCAACATCTCTAAGAAGAACACAGTGAGTTTTAAATTAAATGCCTTACTTATCCTTTCACTTCTGTATATTCACTTTATTTTTCTAAGTAAGAAGCAGCCCATAATTAGTTCAGTTAATATATGCACGGTAGGAGGCAAGTCCTTGTAAGAGTGTCTCGTTTTCTTTTAGGGTATCACTCTTGTTTAATAAAAAATAGTTCCTTTTTACTCATATTATTAAATATATTATAATTTATTATGTATGAATAATACTCATAATATTAAATAGCACTGTTATTATTAGTTACATACTTTTTTATGTTTCAGACCTCAGAATACACAGAACTGGATGATAGTAATTTTGACTGGACTTGTCCAAACACTCAGATTCTTTTTCCTAATGATCCATTGTATGCTCAGAGCATCCGTGAACCCTTGAAAAATGTGGTGGATAAGAGCTGTCCAAGAGGCATCATCAGAGTGTAAGATGTATTATTTTATATTTGCTAATACTAAGTGAATTCACAGTAAATGACAGAGCGCTTAAGGAGCTGTAAGAGTAGTCAACTATTTCATTATGTCTTGTACGAGAAAATGCTTTCCTCCGTATGTCTATGGTTTCTGCGTAGTACAAAGACAGCTTTTGTTTGCTTTTGTTTGTCTTTATTGTTTTTAGACTTACTTCTTGATTGTTAACCAAACTTTTGGGAGGCACATAAATGAGCTTATTTTCTTCTATATAGATACTTATTAGAAAGGCCATTGACAACAAGGGGGCTAAAAAAAATGAAGTGGGCATTTTTATCCACTGATGAAAATATTGTTTTGCTTTTAAATATTGTGAGGGCTGGAGAGGTAGTTCAGCGGTTAATAGCATTGATTGCCCTTCTAGAAGACCTGTACCCAAAGGGCAGTTCATAACTATTTGTAACTCCAGTCCCAGGGGATCAGATGCCCTCTTCTGGCTTTTAAGGGTACTGCATGCACATGGTGAACAGACAGAAGCATACAAAACAATAGACATACAATTTTAAAAAATTAAAACTGAAAAAAATGTGAGAAAAATATGCTTTTAGAGAAAGAGAGCATAATGATCTATTTTATTGAAATACGTGCACACACACAAAAGTGACAGCTTATTAGTAATCAGATTATGCATAGGAAAATAAATTACCCCAGCTTCACCAGTTCTGAAATTAACAATTCTGCGAATGCCGACTAAGATTATTCTTATTTGTTTTTTATATTTCACTGCTTGTAATGCACAGTTGTAAACCTTGCTTCTGATTCCTTTTTGCAGAGAGGAGAGTTTCAGAAGTGGAGCTAAACCTCCTCTGAGAGCCAGAGATTTTATGGCCACTAACCCTGAGCATTTAGAAATCCTGAAGAAGATGGGGGTGAGTTTGATTCACCTCAAAGATGGGCGAGTCCAGCTGGTCCAACATGCAATCCAAGTAAGACATTGCTGTATGGGCTAGGTGCTGTCTTTGCTCTTTAGCTTCAATAGGGTGATGGCATTTGGCTCTTGTAAACTTTAGAGTTGACATACACGAAGCTCTCTGGGAACATTCCTAATTCTGCATAGCCATTTGGGTAATTTGTTTAATACAGTCAAAAATAGGATTTAAACTTAAATTTTTAATCTCAGTTTATTGTCTTTTCACTATTTTATTTTGAGTCACTGATTAATTTTAATATTTACATAATAATATCCCACACTAGTTTCCAAAAAGTAGTGAACCTAGGTATTTCGTTCATCATAGAAATCAAGCTTTGAATATATTTGTACCTGTAAAAGATAACATACTTTTTTACTTTAAAGTTTTTATAATATAAGACCTTTAATTTATTTACCTTATTAGCACATTGATTTTGAAGAGCGTGATACCCCGAATAATTACAAGCTGCAAGCACACTCAGACAACCTTCACTTAACTTTCCCGCAACCTCACTTGTCCCTCAAATTTTATCCATTTTCTTGCTCTCTCCATCTTCCCTTTAAAAGTACCCTGTGTCCTTATGTCCCAGACTGTGAGCGTGGGGCCAGGGCTTTCATTTAGGCTACCAGTGAAGTAGTGGCCACCTCATGGCCTCTTAATCTTTAATCAGTTTAACTTTTCTCTTAACTCTTGATTTTTCCCCCTCTTAAAACTTTCCCTTCTTTTTGGTTCCCAGGGTAGCAACACAATTCCTGTTCAGTTCTCACTGTGCGCCTTATAGAATCGGCGTAGCTCGACTTCCAGTGTAGGGCGGTCTACGACTTTAGACGATATTTTTTTCTCTCTTTTTTTTTCTTCAGCAGTCTTCTGTTTCTGCCACTAGCTTTGAACAGATGACTCTTGGACATATGCATATAGCAGTCATCCTGAACTTCAATCCTGAACGCAGATTTCGTACATCTGCTGTGTGTTTGTACATCTCAGCCTTCATCTGCTGTAATTTGAGTCGTGTTTTCTTTCTCTGTCGCTCTCCTGTCCCTACCTCAGCTCCTCCTCTGTTTTCCTTCCAGTAAACGCTCATCGTTCTCTGAGCTCTTCCCAGAGCTAGACATTTCAGAGTGCGCTTGCATGCTCAGTGTCTCTCTGCCCTCCGACTCTCTACATCAAAGCCTATTTTTTTCCCTTGCAACTTTTTCCTGTGATGGACATCTTCAACTTCTCTGTGGTTGAGACTTAGTTCTCAGTTATACACAAGCAGAACCAATTACTCCCTTGGGCCTTTTCACTTTAGACTTTCTTAACATAGTTAACTTTTGCATGTCTTTGTCCACTAGACACAAACTTACAGACTGCCTCCCCGGTCTTACCGTGGGGACAGAATAGGTTCTTACCACATGTCTGGAGCCTTATGGAATCTGCTTGCTAATCTGGAGTTTCAAAGAGGAAAGATGGGGGTCAGGCAAAAAACTTTTTCCTTTAAAGGGGAAACCAATAGAGATAAATAGCAAAAGGGTGCTTGAGCTTTGATAGAAGCACAGTTTCAAATCTCCATCAAAGAGTTTCCGTGGTGGGGAAGAGACACTGATCAAAGCGACACATGATGCTGTTGAGAAAATTTAATTCCTAAAAGTAGTGTATTGAGGGCAAGGTAGATCAAAACTATTTAGTGGGGACCTAAGCTAAAAGGGAAAATTCCATGCATAAGTCTATAATTTCAGAAGTCAAATAGATGGGGAAGTTTTCAGGAAGGAAAGCTGAGCTGAACTGAGTCTGTTTCTTTCATAGGCTGCCAGTTCAATTGACGCTGAAGATGGGCTGCGGTTCATGCAGGAGATGATTGAACTGTCAAGTCAGCAACAGAAAGAGCAGCAGCTACCTCCACGAGCTGTACAAATTATTTCCCACCCATTTTTTGGCAGGGTAGTCTTAACTGCTGGACCAGCTCAGTTTGGGCTGGATCTGTCTAAACATAAAGAGGTATGTGCACTCCAGTACGCATACTGAAATTAAAATTGTAAGTATTTAATTTTTTTGTTTAGTAGCTTCTTGTTTAGAAGTTGGGGTCTGAGTTCACGTTTCAGTGGCAGAAACACACACTCAGCTCAGATCCTGGTTGTAGTCCCCACAACAAAACAAAACATTACTGTAGCATTCAGCCTCCTGCATTTAAATTAAAGCAGTCTTACATTGGTATACAGCTACTGGGGAGATCTCTCAGTTATTAATGCTTGCTGGGTACACATTAGGACCTGAGTTCAGCCCCAGCACCCACATAAAAGCTAGGCATGTTAATGTGCCCTCTTACTGTTTTGTTTACGAGACAGCGTTTTTTTTCTTAACTGTCCTGGCTGTCCTGGAACTCACTATGTAGATCAGGCTGTCCTAGAACTCACTGAGATCTGTCTGCCTCTGTCTCCCCGAGTGCTGGGACTAAAGGCCTGTTTCACAACTGCTCCACAAGCATGTTAATGCCCTCTTAATCCCATCAAGGAGGGGGTAGAGACAGGAAGATCCCCAGTCTCCCCAGCCAGCCAGCTGAGGCTAATCTGTGATCCCCAAATTCTAATGAGAGACCCAGTCTCAAAAAGTGAGGTAAATGGCTTTTGATGAATAATAGATGAGATTGTTGATTGATCTGTAGTTTCTACGTGTACACACACACACACACACACACACACACACACACACACAGAGAGAGAGAGAGAGAGAGAGAGAGAGAGAATTTCAGTTCCCTTAAAACTCACGATACTGAACTTAAATGAGTAAATTGTAATTGAAGAAGATAAAAGATTTAGGTTACTTTTTTTCCCAACAGACAAGAGGATTTGTTGCAAGCAGTAAACCATATAACGGTTGTTCAGAGCTCACTAACCCTGAGGCAGTGATGGGGAAAATTGCCTTGATACAAAGAGGACAGTGCATGTTTGCAGAAAAGGCCCGCAACATCCAGAATGCTGGAGCCATTGGTGGTATCGTTATTGGTGAGTACACCTCTGTATCAGCTTATTGATCACAAAGAGGTCATCTGGGCGATTTTCCTTTTTTTTCTAAAATCTTATCAAAGGGTATATCAGGTTATTTTTTAATTTTTTATTTTGACACCATAAAGGACTTGATAATTGATACTTTCTGGTTATAGTTCTTGAAAACCCAGGTACTGATTTCCGTATATTAAGGTCAGTATTTGGGCTGAGGTATGAGGGTGGAGTTGGAGTGCTGTGAAAATGCCCCACACCCCGGAAAAGAAACTCTGCCCTTGAGATCTAAAGTCCCCAGGGAAGGATTAACACTCAGCCACCCAGTGTACAGCTTTAAGAGAGTTCCCTTCCCCCACAGGGTGGCAGGCTTTGGAGCCACAAACTTGTGGGTACAGTTAGTGGCTCTGCCACAGAATGGCAGTGCAGCCTTGGCCCAGCTTCACTTGTCTTTTCTTTCAGAAAAAAGATTTTTTTTTGCTTTTTTTAAAAATTGATTTTATTGAGTTATGCATTTTTCTCTGTTCCCCTTCCTCTCCCTTTAAGCCCTCTCCCATGATCCCCATGCTCCCAATTTACTGAGATCTTGAATTTTTTTCCTTACTATGTAGATTAGATCCATATATATCTCTCTTAGGGTCCTCATTGTTGTCTAGGTTCTCTGGGAATGTGGTTTGTAGGCTGGCTTTCTTTGCTTTATGTTTTAAAACCATCTATGAGTGAGTACATGTGATAATTGTCTTTCTGAGTCTGGATTACCTCACTCAAAATGATATTTCTAGCTCCATCCATTTTCCTGCAAAATTCAAGATGTTATTTTTTCTGCTGTGTAGTACTCCATTGTGAAAATGTACCACATTTTCCTTATCTAGTCTTTGGTCGAGGGGCATTTAGGTTGTTTTTGGGTTCTGGCTATGACAGACAAAGCTGCTATGAACATAGTTGAGCACATGTCCTTGTGGCACAATTGAGCATCCTTTGGATATATACCCAAAAGTGGTATTACTGGGTCTTGAGGAAGGTTGTTTCCTAATTTTCTGAGAAATCACCACACTGACATCCAAAGTGTCTGTACCAGCTTGCATTCCCACCAGCAATACAGAAGTGTTCCCTTTTCCCCACAACCTCTCCAGCATAAGTTGTCATCAGTGTTTTTGATCTTAGCCATTCTTACAGGTGTAAGATGGAATCTCAGTGTTGTTTTGCATTTCTCTGATGTTGAACATTTCCTTAAGTGTCTTTCAGCCATTTTTGATTCCTCTGTTGAGAGTTCTCTGTTTAGGTCTGTACTCCATTTTTTTAAATTGAATTATTTTTCTTTTGATGACCAGTTTCTTGAGTTCTTTATACATTTTGGAGATCAGCCCTCTGTCTTATGTGAGGTTACTGAAGATCTTTTCCCACTGAAGAAAGATTTTTTAAGCTACAAATACTGGAAGCACATAAGCACTAGTTGTTAGGACTTCAGGTACTGATAACACATAAGCACTAGTTGTTAGGATTTTTTTTATCCCAGTGGATGTTTTTCCACTGAAACTACAAATTACCAGCTTTACCCCTGTATTTCAGCCTATGAGTTTTGCTATTCCCCAACCCCCCCCCATTTTTTTTCTCTCTTAACAAGCCATGACTAGCAGCAGGAATATATATTTTGCATGTTTAAGGTAAAAAGGCATTTGCATTTAAAAAGAGCTATAAGACAAATCAGTTGTGAATTGACCAGGAAAGTCCATTTTCCATTTCCCTTTCCTTAATTAGAATTCATTTCTACATTGAAAGTCCATAAGACATTTAAAGGTTTGAGGTTATAGCTCAGTGGTCCTGCTTTTGATTCTAGCATCATGAAAAACAGAAGATGTGACCACTTAAGTAGTAGGATCTGTTTCAGCAAAAGCTATTTACTGTTCCCTTTGTTTATTCTGTATGGGAACTAAAATGTTGGTTTAAGTGAATAAATTCCATTAGTTAAAAAGTTATAGGAGAAATTGTGTTTAACAATTTAAACCCACATTTAGCAGACTAGGAGGTGTGGCCCTCCTCCACCTCGTACCTCAGTTTTGGTGTTGCTGAGACATAGCCACGTGAAGTCATATGGATATTGTCTCTGAGTGCTTTGAGTCACAGCGATGGGTAGTTCGCAGAGAATGCGGGCTGGTAGCATTTGCACTTTGGCCAATTACAGGACATTTTGCTGACTTCTAACTTAAATCTTTCTTAGTGTGTATGTGTACAAATTTGTTTGTGTATAGATATTTATGTCCTCATATATGTGGAGGCCACAGGTCAACATTAGTGTTTTCCCAACTGTTCTACTTCATTTTTGAAGCAGTCTTTCACTGGGCCCAGAACTCATGAATGACTAGATTGACTAGCCAGTGAACTATGGGGGTTACCTGTTCCCCAGTGCTCGGTTACAAATGAACATCACCATGCCAGCTTTTATTTGATCACTTGGGATCCAAATTTGGGTCCTTCTGCTGGTGTGGTGGGCACTGTACCAACTGAACCATTTCCCGGCCCCTTGAGTGATCCTGTCCATCATTGGCTATTTTCACACTGAGACTACTCTTACTGAAGAATTTAATAGATTTTGTCACTATAATTTTGAGCATTTTTTACTTACCATATAGAACAGTATGGGATGTGTACGTCAATCTTAAAAAGTACCTTTCTGTCTGAAGATTTTCTCAGTTTCTGGGTGGAGTCTTTGTGGTGCTCTGTGACTTATAAACACTGTGTTTTCTTTAGTAGCTGTTGATGCACAATTCTACACTGGGGTCTGTGGAACAACAAGGAAATCATGGTTTTTCTTCTCACAAATTTTAATTTTAAAAAGAAATTTAACAGGAGTGTGTGAGACTTCTTTCTCCTAAGATTTTTTTTCTGACAAAACATTTTTTCCTTTGAATGAATTTGAGTTTCATTTTTTTTTTTTTTTTTTTACTACAAGGACTAAAAAGATACTAGAAATACAACTTACCTTAGGACTCATTTGCCAGCGGGAGGTAATAATTTACTTGTTATTTTAAGAAAGAAGGTTGTTCACTCTGTGGAAAGGGGTGCTCTTCCTTCAGCCAAAGAGTCAGACATACAGCTGGAATTGACACGGCTGACACCTCTCTTGTCTCTCTCCATCTAGTGCTGTCTGGTCTTGGGCTCTCTGGCAGCTGCGCCTCCTCTTCAGCCCTCCACACCTGCTCCCTCTGTGTTTGCAGCTCTCACAAGGCAGCCAAGCCCTCAGGCTGAGTCCCTCGCACGGCTGCACCCACCACTAGCAGAAGCAGTTTTTCTGGGTGGCAGTTGTAGGATGCTAGAGGAACTGGAGGTCAGACAGCCATCTTTTGATCAATTACTAAGAGAGCATATCGTGTTGGCCACTTAGTTGGGCCTGTGAAGCAAGTGGTGTGTGAGATGGCACTGCCATTTTCCTCAGGAGATGGTTGTGTCATGCTGGTGTGGATGTGATTGGTACTTACACTATCAGAGAATTTAAGTGCTGCGTAACCAGTGTGAAATAGCAATATTGTGTAATTCTGCTTATTCCTAGTTAAGTAATCCCTGGTCTAAACATTTGTGATTTCAGAGCATTTTAAGTTTTTGAGTCAGGAATGCTCAAACTCTAACATCCATTAGATGAAATCTAAAAGTTTTTGTAGTTCTACCTGTGTGATCCAGATCACTAAACTCTTTCATTTGCAGGCTTTTCCTTAAACATGTGAAAATATTCCAGTCATAATCATAGAAATTTGTGTTTTTCATATACTGTTTTCCTGTGTCAAGTAGTTCATTATAATTTATTGAGAGCCGTTTATAATTGTGCACTCCAGTAGACTTCTTTGAGTTTAGAGTTTTTGCTGCTTTCAATTATTTTCTTAGGCTAAATCATAAAATTAGTTGATCTGAAGATTATATATATTTTCCTGGAGCATAAACTCCTTACTGTCAGTAGGAAAAGCAGCGGCAGCAGCAGCAGCAGCGGCAGCAGCAGCGTGTCTCCGCAGTGACAGATGCCCTGACTGCTGTGTTTGTTCTCTGAGCAGATGACAACGAGGGGAGCAGCAGTGACACCGCCCCTCTGTTCCAGATGGCAGGTGATGGGAAGGACACTGACGACATCAAGATCCCCATGCTCTTCCTGTTCAGCAAAGAAGGAAACATTATCCTGGATGCCATCCGGGAGCACGAGGAGGTGGAGGTCCTCCTTTCTGACAAAGCAAGAGACCGAGGTAACAGCCGGTGCTGCTGCGCTAGTCCTGTTAGCCCGGGAGCAAAGGTCCTCACAAAAGTGGCACAGGCTTTCTTTCTTTATTTTTAGTTTGCTGGTAAAACAAGTAAATATTTTAGAAAATGGTTTAGAATTTTTCTCTTGGAAATAATAGTAATTTATTATATTTATTTTATTAATATTATTAGCATTTATTTTTACTGTATCATTAAATTATATATTAAATAATAAACTATTATAATTTGCTATTAATATTACAAAATATTAATAGTAATTTATTATAAATCGTAAAACATTTGCTTTGATGACTGAATTAGAATGCTTTTAGAATTACATTTTTTACGTGTATACAATATGATAGTAGCAGTCTCACCAGCAACCTGTACTCTGAGGCCACTGTTGACGGAGGCATTAGAAATGCAGGCATGTCTCCCTGCTGCTATATATGTTTATCACATGGATTTTATACTACAGGAGGTACAAATGGCTTTGCCTGACCAGCAAGATACCTTAACTCATAAGAATATAGAATCTTCCTTAGGCCAAAGGGTTGTTAGTAATTTGAAAGTTATTGGAAACCACTGTGTAAAGGCTGCAGAGTTTTCACACCTGAGGATTTGGGAACTGTGTCTCCTGTCCCCCTTAAATGAATGGCATGTATAATCTGTAAGGGGTTGTTATAGCCCATAGGGTATTTAACAGATCCTCAAAAACTAACTGAATTCAGCGTGACTGCCCAATGAGACGTCTTTTGAAAAGGCTAACAGTACAGTGCTATTCCAGTCCATGTTTTGTCTTCTTACATTGCTTTGGTCTTTGAGAGTCTTTGAACTGCCAGTTACTTAAGAGCAGTGGAATGAATGAGTTGGGTGTGTAAGGATGTGTAGTCGGAACAGAACACAAATAGGTCCCGATCTTCTTAAACCTGCCTATGTACTTGAGTTCTTTTTTCCTGGGGCCCTTTTCAAAATTCTCATCTTTCCTCCTCTGCTGTGCATCAAACACAGGCAAATTAATACTAATCTGTATAATGCTTTAATGCCTTTGCTTTCCCCCTGTTTTCTGCTACCATTGGAATTTCAGCAGCAATATTAAAAGGTAAAATGATTCCAAGCTACATTATTAACAGTAGTAAGTATCTTGCATTAATAAACCAATTATATATGTATGTGTGTCTGATACCCACATATACATATATAATTTTGTTTCACTTAATATCATGATAATATATGGCTTAATGCAATTAATAACTTCCATATTCAGTCAGTTGTCCCATAATAAGTCTTTATCGATCCTGCTATAACTAATTCTATTAATTATATATTCCATACTCTAGGTGAATTCACTAGTCCATGCCCATGCAGGAGTCACTCTGATAGCAACATTGGTGCATAAGAAATTAATTACTTTGGATCATTTCATTTATATAAAAGTAAAATATTTAAAATACTGTCTTGTTTTATAAACTTCTGTGGAGGTGAGGGGCACACAGGAGTTAAGACTGTAATTATGGTAAAGAACATGCTCACCACACCAGGAGAAGGGTAGGAAGAGCAGTCAGTTCTACTAGAAAAAAGTTGTTAAGGAATAGTATTCCCATAAAAACTGCAGTAAAAAGACATTACATAAATGATGCTTTAAAGCACTTTGACAGTTTGTAACTTGTTGAGCTGTTAGTCTTAGAGTGCACCTTTAATAGAGGGGTTAAGGTCTGTGTATGTAATAGCACTTTGAGAATGTACAACTATTAGCCAGACAACAGGTTATGATGAATATCTATCACTGTAAGAGAAATCAGTGATAATAGCTTATTCAGATCAACCACTTTATCCACTTAGGATACTACTCTTAAGAAGTTAAAGTCTGCAGTGGTCATCATTAATTTGTCCCATACCATCACCATATTGTGTGCTACACCTGTGTCAGTATTGGCTGATGTGCCTGTGGTGGACCAGTCAGTCAGAATCCCACATGTAGACACACTCCCAGGCAATTGTAGTGCAGCACTTCTTTACCTGCACTTTAAGAGACAAGAAAAAGGACCTGGAAGATCATTCTGTCTCCTGGTTTTGGGAATTAGGATTATGTAAGTACCCTCCTGTAATAAGCACCTAATCCAGGCAGCGGAATGTCTTCAGTGTCCTTTGCACTTACAGGAGATAGAAGCCCCAGACAATACCCACCTTTGGTCTGATAAGTGTGACTATTAGGATCTTTATATCTGATGCTGTCCTGCTATCTGGTAGCAACAGTGTTCAAATATTACACATTCTTCAGAAGCTGAGGCTCTAGAAGTTCATCAAGTGGAGATGTTGCATCCTCAGGGTGACCATTGACACCCTAAATGTTACATTGTCCACACCCTATTCTTGAACAAAACCTTTAACACTGTGTCTCTTAGTGTCTCATTGCTGCAAATTTTGAGTTTTTAAAGATATTTAATAATTCCAACCCTGTCTCCTAAATAAAAAAGTGTGGGAGACCTTTAAATTGAAACAGTTTGCAGTTCAGTTTCTTCTGCTCCTTAATATTATGGAGGAAAGCATCAGCATTTTAAAGTGCGGTGCATTGCCATGCTTCCAGGCTACAGAGCAGGGCTGTGTGCCCCAAAGGCTGGAGACAAGTGCTTTCAAGGCTCCCACTGTATTAGTGTTTGTCTGGTAAAAAGGCAGACAGAAAATGGAGGTGAGATTAAAATGAGAAAGAATTCCATCTTGTAAAGTGCCCTGAATTTAAGCCAAGCAGTATGAGTCCCCAGATAACTCCATTTAGAATAGGCTGCGATGCTGCAGTCCTGGGGTTGAACTGTGGAAGACAGTTGGACAGGGTCTGATGCCAGTGCGGATGACCTTGTGCGGGCAGATGGCTGCCTGCCTGGAGAGGCCCAGCCTGCTGTTGTGGGCAGGAAGCCTTGCTTGCCTGCCGTCCCTTCTCTAAGCAGACCATGTTTCTGTGTGGATTACCTTACCTGTTTTTCACACCCCTATGGCAAGTTCAGCCATTCTATACCCAGTTCAGGTGCCCCTTCTGTATGACATTTTTTTCCCACTCTTGGCAGAATGTTAGTTTTTCTTCTTCAGTATAGTTCAGTGATTCTATTGCAAAAGTGTTTATTATATAGGTCTTCTTACCTTTGTGAACTTTCCTTTCAGTCAACGTAGAAAGTGCTGGCCAATGAATGACTGTATAACTTCAAACTCAAGTCTTCCACCAGCGTTATCTTCCCTTTATTAGTAAGAACCCTGATGTTCACTGGGCTTCTGCTCCTGGTGTTTCTGAGTCACTGTCGTACCCTCTTCACTGGCAGTGGGAGCCTGCGAGTGAAGACATAACAACTTGGCTCCCTCAACTCCTTTGAGTCTTTGTTCCTCTCCATGCCCAGGCTGACTTGGCTGCCGCCGCCTCTGTTCCTTGCTCTGTGGGTTCAGGAGCTTTAAGAAGCCGAGTGGGCAGCGCCTGCTCTTCTCTTCTATCATTTGTTTGTTCCTGTGCTGGGAGTCTAGAAGCTTTGTTTGGGATATATTTCATATGGTAGCTCTTCCCTTACTGAATTTCAGTTTCATGTAGTTCAAAAACTAAAAGAAGTAGAAATGGATTCATTTTGGAATCCTATATTCACATATCTTTTTTATAGAGAGTGTAAAACTGTTAAATGTGACAACTTCCTGTTTTGGAGCATACCTGTGAATTTAATCAGCTCTTCTTTTTTTCTTCTTATAATTATATAGTATTAAGCAATATGAGCCTTAGACCTGTCATAATTTATTTTTGTAGTTTTTTGTTTATATTATGAAAAAATATATGATTTCACCTTTAATTGTTGACACCTCTATTGAGGAGCTACTGGTACTTGCAGTTACTTTAGTTTTCTTTACCAGTTTTTTTTTTTTATTAACCTTGGTAGTATTTCTTAAAATTAGAGTGTCTTAGGTAGGGTTTCTATTGCTGTGAAGAGACACCACGACCACAGCAACTCTTCTAAAGGAAAACATTTAACTGGGGCTGGCTTGCTGTTCAGAGGTTTAGTCCACTTCTGTCATGGCTGGGCGTGGCAGCATGCAGGCAATCATCTTTAGGCAGCAGGCAGAGAGTGAGACACTGGACCTGGTTTGGGCATCTGAAACCTCAAAGTCCACCCGTAGTGACACACTTCCTCCAACAAAGCCACACCTCCTAATAGTGACAGTTCTCCCTATGAGCATTTGGGGGCCTTTTTCATTCAGACCATCACACTTCACTTTTAATATACAGTCACAGTATAAACATATAGGTAATAATTATATTTCTTTTTTATATCTACCCTGGTTATTCTGTGATTTTATGACATTAGCTAGACACCCAGAATAATATAATCATAGATATATATTATTCTGGATTTCACATATATCCTCTAAAGGGGCTTGGGCAAAAGTAGTCTTTGTTACTAGACAGGGCAACCCTGACCTGGGCCATCCTTTTAGACTAAAATAATATGATTAAAAAGTAAACTCGAAGACTTTGTTAGTTTTCTCAACTTCCAGTCGACTAGTGTAGTAAGTTCTGAGCTCCCTTTTCTTATCTCACCCCATGGCCTCCTAACTACTTAATTGTGCCTCCTTCACAGTTCAGAAAACTGAAATGGTAACATAATAAGAAAGAAAATAAGGCATTGCATTAAAAAAGAAGAAAGAAAAAAGACATTTTTCTCCCTTACCAAAACAAAAAGCACACACACATACACACACACACACACACAAACAACAACAAAAAGCCGGGCTCGTAGTGCAGTGGTAACTCTTCTGACTCCAAATCAAAAACCAGAACTGTGCTGGTTACCTTCCTGTCGCTGTGGTGAGATGCCACGGCAAAGGCGGCACAAAGCAGAGTTGGATTTGGGTCACATTCCACAGGGTCTGAGTCCATGATGGCAGCAGGCAGCTGGAATAGGAAGCTGAGAGACCACATCTTCAACCCTAACCAGAAAATAAAGACAATGAAGCTGGACTAGGCTATAAAACTCTCAGAGTTCACCGCCAGCGAAGCACTTCCTTTGGGAAGACTTCACTTCCTAAACCTTCCCAGTCGCACCACTGTGAGCACCTGGGACCAAGTGTCAATACTCAAGCCAGTGGGTGACAGTTACCATCACCCCACCCCAAAACTAAGTGTATGAACTTGAGAAAATAAGCATGTGCAGGTGTAGGTGTGCAGAGAAACTTCCCCAGTAAGGCATTCCTACCTGAGAGGGTGACTATACATGCTCGCCTGTAGGTTTCTTTCCTTCAAGGTTAGTTATAGTAGGTCTCTGCTTACTTTCCGAAGGAGCCCTCAGATGGTATTACTGCGAGCTTTCCTACACACCAATCTCCCCTATAAAATGTGGAGCTTTTCACTTACTGTATAAATACCCAGTATTTGTGAATACCATTTTCTCGTCGGTCTGTAAGATCTTAAAGGTGTTAGTTAGGCATGGTGTTAGTTTTCGCTAATTTTCTCTCTGGCACCAGGCACAGTGGACAACCAGAGAGTTCTGGCTGTACTGCAGAAACAGGCTGAGCTGGGTGTGGCCTATGGGTGACAAGGCTGGCTAAGTACTTTAATGTAGGAACTAAGGAAAGTGTATCCAGGGCTTTTATATTTTATATTCTTTACAAAAACTTTACCTACTCAGGCTCCTAGTGTATTTCAGAATAATTGAAGTTTGTAGATATACAGTAATAGTTTTATTAATAATCTTAGTTCTTGTCTTTATGACAATATTTTATTTGATGAGTCATATTAATACCTATAACCATTCAGTTTTTTTGTTTGAATCTAAATGGATCACTGAGTGGTAATTTCACTTTTTTCAAGAAATATGATTTCAAAATTTTGCAATGATATATTAAAATATTAAATGTATTCCATTTAGAATGTTCCTTGTGCAAGCTTTCTTTAATTTAGGTATTAATAAATTGTGCGTGCATGTGTGTGCCTGACTGTATGTGCAGGTGTGTACATGTGCTCATGCTTGTGCATGCACATGGAGACTGTAGGACCCTTTGGAATTGGAGTTAGAGGGAGCCGTGAGACACCAGCTGGTTATATGGGTGTCGGTTCCAAACTCTTGTCCTAATGATTGTGCAGCAAGCACACTCAGTCACTGAACCATCTCTAGCCATGATGCTTAATAAGTTGTAGTCATATGTTGAAATTTTTATGCATTTTAGCATTTTGTTTAGTGCTTTTGTCACTAATATTCATCCAAGTTAGCATTATGCAATTAGTTACTGTTACTCCTTTCCGTTTGGAGTGGCTTTTTCACTGCCGTACATTCTGCCTGTAACTACGCAGAATTTTGATTGGAAGACCTTGCCTTCAGTGCCAGTGTTGACTGTTCTCCCTTGATATGACTGCTGCATCTCCTAATGTCATGGCAAAGTGGTAAGTGTGGTGCACTTTTCAAGAGAGAGTGATTCTTGTTTCCTTCCCATACAGACCCTGAAATGGAAAGTGAAGACCAGCCATCTTCTGAAAACGATTCTCAGAGTCAGAGCGCGGAACAGATGCTCTCCCTTTCTCAAACAGTTGACTTGGTTGATCAGGAGACCCCCGAAAGCCCTCTAGATTCTCACTCAGAGCCATCATCTCCAGCAGACACTGAAGAAACTGCTGGCTTAGCCCCTTCTGAACAGATACCTAGTTCCACAGAAAGCCTTGAGACTACAAGTCTTGATGGTGAATGTACAGATTTAGATAACCAGCCTAAGGAACAACCAGAAACTGAGGAAGATTCCAATCCTAATGTTAGCTGGGGCAAAAAGGTCCAGCCTATAGACTCCATATTAGCAGACTGGAATGAAGATATAGAAGCATTTGAAATGATGGAGAAGGACGAACTCTGACTCTGTGTAAAGACTCTGGTGGTAGATATTTAAGAAGAAGAAGTAAATTGTGGTTTTCTACATCCTATCCAAGCAGGCGCTCCTGGGAGCTCTGAGCAGTGCTCAGGCACGTTCTGACTGGGTAAGTAGTTCCCGTAGCAACCTGGAGCATGCTGTGCTAGAGCTGACCTCACCGAAACTGTCCTATCCAAAGAGGAAACTCTCAACCCCTCAAATGACGCTACTGCGTACCCTCAGTTCCCGGGCCAGGGAAAGATGACTGGCCACTCCTAGGTAGACGAGACAAATTCAGCTGATAGGAAGTGGGAACAGCAGTCAGTGCGGCTTCCTAATTGAAGGGAGCTTCACTGCCGTGGGTTTGGGGTCAGAAGCCCTTCTGAGAAGATTTGGCTGAGTTCTGTGGTGTCCTGGCCTCGCTGCCACCACAGGACACTTCAGTGACCCACAGCCTTTGAAGCAGATGCATGCAGGGTGACAGCTGGTTCTGCTCAGTGCTTTCACCTGCTTCGTTCAGTGACAGTCGGTCAAGATGACTTGATTTCTTCTTTTCTCCCAACAATGTCCTCACATCTAAGCCAAAGGTGAAGCTAGTGTACTCTTTCCAGTGAGTTTTCCTATAGAGACCAACTGCGGGGCCAGAAGAGGGACATAGAGTACAGTGAAAACCGGTTGTTGATCCTTGGGGTAAGCAGAGAGAAAGAGGAACTATAATGTTGCAATATCAACTTCTCATTGGGCCGTAGGGGAAGCAGCATTATTAGCTCCTTGGGGGTAGAGTATATGTCTTTTCCAGTTCATTTCTCTTAAGGTGGTTACTCTAGCCATCAGCCTTACTCCATCCCATGTGTAGTATCCAGTGTGCGCCAGAAGGCTCATCCCAAGCCCTGGTCCATTTTCCTATCTTATGGGGAGCCCTGATAAGCCATGGTAGTGGTCTGTAGTCTGGGGGTGACCACCATCTTTCTCCTTTGAAGCTGATTTCTGGCATCACACCTAAGGAGTCTGTCACATTTTCTGTTGAATCATGGATTTAGGTTTAATTTTGTTTTAACAAATACTCCTTCTGATGTGGATTTGAAAATTAGCCTCTGGTGACCTGTGTAAAAAAACCTAAATAGCCATATAAGTAAAAGAAAGAGACTTTTTTTTTTCCTGTGGCAGTTTGGGCTGGCCACATTTAATTATTTTCAGTTTTGCTTATTGATAGTTCTACATTGAAATCATGGTTTTATTCATTTTATTTATTTTAAGCTTACTTTAATACTTCTAAAGGAATATTTGAGAGACTTAATTCCTTTTTACCATGGCGCTACACAATAACCTTTTTCTAAACCATGGTTTTGAGGTACTGAATAACTTAGACTATGTATGGAGCTGTTAAAGACAGCAGAGCTGGATTGTAGTTATGTATATTCATGTACAGTATGTCTTAGGTCCCAGGGAAACATGCCATTTTATAAGGAGATAAATACCTGCTTTCAAAAATTCCAGCTCAACCTAATTGGTTCAGTGAGTAATAAATCTTAAAGAATTCTCTGGGTCATGGGGTAGTATAACAAGTTCTTTATTGGCTCTTAGTTAAACCTGACACCAAAATGGGTATTTTTAGTCTCTCTGCATGTGAAGTTTGGTGCAAGAAGATAGAACCATAATACATAGTGTATACAGAAGGGTAGACGTGCTTCGTTCATCTTAATTGCAAAGCTGCCAAAATAGCTGAAGCTTAACTACTTGATTTATGGGACTGGGGCTTGGAGAAAAGGAACAGATGTTCCTCTGATACTTTGATTACAGAAGCCTTATATGGATTGATTTTGTATTTGTAGCTCAAAGCCATTGTTGTTTAAATCTAACTCTTTTAAGTTATCAAAGTAGCGTATTTTTTTTCCCTCAAGAACTTAATGGCATGAAGAATCCATACTAGAAAAGGCCAGCTTACTGCCACTTGCTGTTTTTTTGGCCACTAGGAGGCGCTGTTGCCCTTCACTAAGGTTTAGATGAGCCTATTGATTTGTTTTGAAAATCAATTCCTTTAAAGGAATACATTTAAGACGTTTTGCTTACTGTCTAGAAGGAATAATACTCAGTTTTCCCCACCTAAGAAAGGAGATACATGTTCAGCTTCAGAATACAGCATTCTAACCGATTCCCCATTCATTTTCTCATTTGACATACTGCCATAAAGTAATCTTTGAGTTCATTAGAAAATTTTAACAGCATAGATTCCTTTTTTATTTTTTTTTGTTGTTGTTTGTTAAAAACTTTTCATAGATATTTTATTTACTTGCTGAAGATTCAGGGACTTCTGAGACCCTGAGTTTAGAAACATCTGGTCTACCTCAGTTAAATGTTGACTGCTTAGAACTAGAGCTGAAATGATCACCACAGCCATAAACTTGTTTGACTAAGAAAGATTTATATAATGTTTACAAACCTGGAATCAAGTATGGATCTTACCTGAAAGTTGAAAGTTACCTGTTAGAGCAAGTATTTAATTCAGGTATTTTCAAGTTTTAAAACTTGTTTACCTAGTAAAAATTAGGTATAGTTTGTTTTTTTTTACCCTCACATAAAAAGTCCATTGAAATTATATTCCCTAATTTACAATGCTTTCCCTATAAAACGTAAGTGTGAAAGAACTGTAGTTTACTAGATATGTTTGGGGTGAGATATTTTGTTAGGATTTCTTTTTTTTTTTAACCTATGTAATAAGCTTCCAAAAAGAGTATAATTGTTTCAGAACAAATTATTTTGTAATTTTACTTTTCCTTTTTCTTTACAGTGCTAGATATTTTAAAATGAAAAATTATGTACTCTCTGACTTTAATTTCAGTAATGTAATAATTTTCTCGGAATTCTTTTAGTTTTAAATTACCATCATATAAACCTTTCTTATAGCAAAGCCAGCATTTGTTCTCTCACCAAACCCCATGCCAGATTCATCATAAAGAAAGCTCAGCCTAAGTAACTGAAATAGTGCTTATAATTTTAGAGGGGTGGGTAGCATTTAGTAAATATTCCAACTGGTCGTTTTATGCACAAGGCTACAGTCAGAACATAGAAAAAAAAAACATTCTGTGAATGAAACATTGTATGTTCAGATTTTATAAAAGACATTTTTAAAAGCCCAATTTACAGCCGTATATTTTCTTATGATGTAATTTATGAAAAAGCTGTCTGTACTAACAGGTGCTGTAACACTACTGTTGTTGGGTTTTATTGTTTGGTGATAAATGTATACAATATTTCTAATGGAAACTATGTACTGTGATGTAAAAGTCTGGGCAAATGTATATAATCCTTGTATATAATTGTGTATTTGATTATATTACTGATTGTAAATTTAATAAAACATGTAAATATGCTGGTCTAGTTTTAAATTTTGAATTTTTAAAATCATTGTGCAAATATCTAGAATTTGGTATCTGTTTTCTTTTTGTTTGTTTTTCTTTACCACAGGGCAGTGACTTTGGGGGCATTTTGGAATATAGAAGCCCAGGCAAACATCAGTTCTAAAACTCACAGTGCCTAGTCAAACTAGAATTCAAACTAAATACTAATAATTCTGCGTCAATATTGGTAACATTTATGTCTTGAATTTACTTATATTTAATAAAATTACTTGTCCTCTTTTAATATTATTATCAAAGTAGCTTTATTAGTTATTTTTCTGTTGCTGTATTGAAGACTATGACTAAAAGCAACTTTGGTTTCCGAGGGATGGGAGGCCATCGTCATGGTAGGGAGTAGCAGCCGGCAGCCACAGTGACTTAACAGCCAAGAGCACCCATCTAGAACTGCAAGCAGGAAATAGCAAACTTGGGTGGCAGGAGGCTTGAAACCGCAAAGCATGTCCCTAGTGGCACTTCTTATACTAAGGCCACACCCCCTAAACCTCCCCAGACAGTGTCACCAACTGAGGAACAAGTATTCAAATGCCAGAGCCTATGGTGGCTGGAGGGTGGTGGTGACACATCTCAGTAAAACAACTGCAGTAGCCATGGCCTTTTCTGTTCTCCCTAGGAGCCCTTTTCCTTCCAGTGTCACTACGATGGCCCTGTCCCGCGGTCTGAGCAGATACATTAAAAGCTGCATAATGGCCATTATCATTTGTAAGACTGGAACAAGTTTCAAGCATCCTACAGTGCCAAATTTAGTGACTGGGCAGTGGCAGAGAGGCAGTTCCAGAGGCCAGCCTGAGATCGGCCCAGGTCACCCTCTTCTCAGCTTTCTCAACCCTGCTTCTCCCTCCAGTTCCTGCTTGCCTTTTGACCAGTCACACCCCCTTCCTGCTTGGGATGAGATTGAGGGTTAGACGTGACAGCATCTGCTGCTGGGTTTTCTGGGCAGTTAGTCCAGCCTCACTGTGTCCCCCACCTTCGAGAACAATGAATGCATTACTGCTAAACTACTAAAAGAGGCTATGAAAGCAAACTTGACAGGTTTGTCTACTAAGAGGGAGTAAGTCCTTTAAAGGTCAATGAAGAAGAGCAAACATCGGCACTACCTACTCATAAGGCATGGGGCTCACCAGGCCTAACTTGCTAGCTTTGCTCTTATGCTGGCCCATAATTACTATCCACTCTCTGCAAAGGGAATTCCACCGGTGGGCCTCTTGCTTCCTGATCTGTGAGAGAATGCACTTTGGCTAGCCTAGGTTAAGGTGGGAGGATTCGTTTAGAAATCCTGTGGTACTCTGTAGGGCAGGTACCTGTGCTACCAGCTCCATCTTACTGACTGCAGCAGGTGACGTTTTGGCCATGTTAGGGTTTAGACTACCTAGCATGTGACTTCCCAGAGTCCAGGGTTCCTCACATGGTTGGTCAGAGAACCAAAGAATAAATAGACCAAAGTTAGAGGAACTTCAGTCTGGGGGGAGGGCTGTTTCCATAGGAGTCCCTCTGACATCACCAACTAGCTGCCTTCCTCCACTCTCCCCGCCCACTACCTTTCCAGCTTCCTTGATCTGCAGGCTGGTCAAAGTTCCCCTTACACATGCACCCGGACAGCCGATACTACTAGAAACAGTGCAGTCACGCTCCTGCCCTGCCTTGGAACTATTAAACTAATTCAACTCTAGCCTGTCTTTGCTAGTGCCACAGGAATAAACAGCTCCAGGGCCAGATCCCTCCTAACCCACCTTTGAAAGGATTCTCTGCCTTCAACACAGATGGAAATCAGGGGAAAGGTTTTCCGAGGTGGAGCAAGCAGGTCTAGGAAGGCAAAGACCCTAGCTACTACTCCACACACCCACATTTTGGTGCCCTAGGCAGCTTTGAGGGAGGAAGGAATCTCAGCAAAGAGGTTGGCTGTGGAAGCCTCTGGGCAGGAGCAGGGCCATCTTACTTACATTCACTTCTATGTGCCCCTCTCTGGTTCTGTGGCCTGGCTGAGAGCTAGAGTACCATTTCATTCCTCTCACTTTAAGTCGGCATGATTCCAGTGACCATGATGCCACATGCCAAGTGTGCCTAGTGATTTCCCGTTCAGCATCTGCGATGTGCCAAGCGACCTGGTCCATCTTCCAGCCATCTTGGAGAGGGCATTCCTATCTGCCAGCTTTCCTCTTGAGCATGCTCTGAACTGAAGATGCTCTGTACATCCTAAACTAACCATGTCGCCGCCCAGAAGTGCTTTTCCCTAGCATAGGCTTTCTGAAGGAAATTCTCCACCCATTCTTTGTCCTGGACACTTGCTGTTTGGGGAGCACAGCCTATGCTCTCATGCTCTCAAGCAGCAGAAATCTCCTCTTGGATGTCTTGGCTGTGACTTACATTTACTCATCAAGACGTGCATAATTGTGTTCAGTTGTTTTACTGCATGACTAAAGCCTTTTTTTTTTTTAAAGTGACGTGATCTCAGCCTGTAATCATCATACCCTATTTTTCGGCTTTGTTCACCAGGTTAATGGCACCAGGAACCTATTTCCATTCAGCCCCATCCAATTTCCCCGAATCAGTATTTCTCACCTGGCCTACCTTCTCACCTCACCTAATACTTGAAATTTCTTTCTTCTGTTGAGCTCAATTGGCAAACCCTTAAATATAAAGCCCAACTGCCCACGCTTATGCAATTATACATGAATAGCTTTGGGGACTGGGTGAAATCAAATCCCTCTGCTGACCAGCCACACTTAAAATCACGGCTGAACATCTCAGGTGAGAGTGAGTACTTCCTCAAATTCTAGCCACATATCCCTGATAGAGATGGCACCTGGGAATAAGTTTCATCCTTCCTTCTTCCCAAAGCTTCCACCCTCATCCCTTAACATCGAAGAAAGCAGACGCAAATGAGGAGTCAACATTCACCAATCTATCACCACGCACACTTGCTTACCCAGACACATCCCTGAAGGAATCCCAAGGACTCCCTACCCCCACACTAGAGACTTAGAACCCCAAACGAATCAGATGGAGAGAAATGGAGAAACATCAAAGTATTAGAATACACTTGAGCCCACGGTGAAGGACCCTGGCCCTCTGAGTCCCTCTCCACATGCATCAGGAGCAGCATCACATGAGCTCCATCGCTGAGCCATATGAGCAGAATGCTGGATGTCAGGTTACAATAAGTGTCGGCCATTCGCTGAAGCATCTCTTTGTCTTATTTTTGTTGTACTGTAGTGCTAATGAAAGTGTAAGTTGGCCCCAAAGAGATGGAGAGACAGTGAGGGAGAAAGACTTTTTGTAGATAACACAATATACATGTACAATATAAAACAACAATATGTAATACACAACAAAATGTTTCTTTCTTTTTTTTAACTCCATCATCTATTTCAGGAACCTAGAAAGATAATAACAAATCCACACATCTCCTTTGAAATACTAGAGAAAACAGTGGAAATTTGGACACATCTAAATGTCTACAGGTTAATGTTTGATAATAGTTTGATACATCACGACAGAGCAAGAGTGATGTGCATCTGTTAAGATGTGTGTAAGGAATGCTGAGGACACGCTTTTCAGTGCTGATTAATGCAATGACAATCTCTTGCCCTTGTTCTCCACCTATGCTCTGGGAATCAAGACCACTCAAGACTGTTCCAGATCTTGTTTTTAGAAAGACTTTATTGTCAAGTCCAGGAGGAATTAAACAAGGATTTCAAAAGCGATGAGGGTTTTGAAAATAGACCATCTAGATACTATGGGAATGTATGACAGGATTCAGCCCAGTGGGGAGCAAGACCTGAAGCTGTGCGGAGATAGAGACTAAGGTTTCTGAGGTGCCCCAGCTCCAAAGATTAGGACCGTACATCTTTCCAAAGGCTGGAGGGTTTTGATCTATGCTAAGGATTTGGAATTTTGTTCTCAGGGTAGCGAGAAAGCACTAAGAGGTTTTATATAAAGCAGTTTCTTGCTGGAATATAATAACTGCACTCAGGCACCATTGTGGGGAGTGAGTGCAGGGTGGGGAAATGGGAGAGAGGGCGAGAGGAAGAACGATTCACGTGCTGGGGAGAGAGGCAGATCTGAAGAGGCCTGGTCAGTGAGGAACAGGCTGATGTAGACGGTCTGTTTGCCACAGGGCCCATGGTGATGTCCAGGCCTGGGCTGCTGCCAAGGGTCATGTCTTGGTCTGTGACTCAGTCATGGAAGTCTGTGTTGATGTCCATGACTCCTGTTACCACCAAAAGCAATGAGGATAGGGCTGCGCAGATTTGGACCCACCCCTCATTGAAACACTACGGAGAATTGACCCTGCGCCCCATCCAGGCAACACAGTAGAGCTGCCCTGGTGGTGTGAGTCTGAGTGAGCTGGACCTGTGGGCCTGAGAGCGGGCAAACCGGCCCCATTCCCTGCTGCAGGCTGTGTTGGATGAATTAGCCTGGGCAGTGCTGCAGAACTCACCCTGGTGGTGTCAATGAGGGAAAGCTGTCAGGCTGACCAACCCAGCTACCACCAAGACCCAGAACCCGGACCAGGACCAGGACTATGAGTTCGCCCACCCCAACATCCACCTCATCTGTGATCTGCTAGAGCACGTGAAGAGGTCAAACCTGCAGATTCAAAGCTACAGGATCTCTGTGACACAGAGCAACAACAGGATATAAAAAGGAGTCCTAATGAGGGCCAGCACCGATAGCGCAGTAGAAGTCAGAGGCCTTGGATCAGACCGATGACTCTTTACAATGAACACGTACAAGTGAAAATAGAGGGACAAAGGGTGCACCGTGTGACTCAATGGGTCGCACTACAGCTTCCACACCGAGGTTTTGTTTCTTTTTTGTTTTTGTTTTTACTTTTAAATTATTTTGTTTTGGGGATGAGGTTGCAAGGGCAGAGGGCAGAAGTGAGGGGACAGGGAGATGAATGGGATTGGAATGCCAAATGTGAAATTCATAAAGAATCAATTAAAAAATACTATTTGATAAAAAATAAGTATATATTATATGTATAGAATATAATTATAATAACAAACAGAATAACATAGTAATATAATAATTTGTATATTATGTGTATATATATGTGCATAATATATAATGCACATATGTATAATAAAACATTATTTTTCAATATAAATAATGAAACACCTAGAATTATCTATCATATGTGAATTTGTCTCTGATGAATACTTAAATAAAAACACTCACAAATGCACATATAGATAGTCATGATCTTAATTCATTTATTTA